AGAAACTGTCTGCATTCTAGAAGGGAATGGGATTAGTTGCAGACCCCCACAGAGTTAAAACTAGTCTAGAAGCAAAGAAAGGCTTAGCACTTCATAGGGAATTTCAGGAGATAGTTAATCCATCCTGTTATCTTTGGGTATGCTATACATTGTCATTAATACAATTAAGATCAAAACAGTATTAAAACAACCTGGAGTTTTAAGAAGTGGCCTTAAAGGTGAGCCTCATCCTTTCTTCAGGGTCCTGCACACAGTCAGGACACACAGTTCAGAAGACACTGTTCTATGTATTAGCCAGTAACTCTCTTGCCTTCTCATCCCCATAGGACTCTGCTTGCCCTGGGCCATCTGACTGTTTATTAACATTGCTGTGGAAGAGGAGAGATCAAAGAAGAGGAGAGAAGATTAAACAATAAACTTGTTTATTATTATTTCTTTATAAATAAAGATGACCTATACATTCAGGATCCCTGAGAAGAATGAGGAGTGGATATTACAATACCAGGGTGGTTTAGGAATCTATGCTGAGAAGGTGGTCCTGTGACCTCAGACCTCTGGAACACTCATTGACACTATCCCTAGGCTCAGTGACTCTGGGTTGAACTTCTGGTCTCCAGGGCCTGCAGGATGCAGAACCGCCTCTAGGAAAGAACCTAAGAATGAATCCTTCTTTTATATTTTAGGCGGGTATAAATAAATATTTCTTTTGTGCAACCCGCTCTAAAATGATCTTTTCAGGATATATGCCAAAAGCTAACTAGCTGCACATTTACAATTTTGAAATTTTGTTTACAAGTTTAACTCAAATAAAGAAGGCACACACGTGTGTGTGTATATATATGTTAAACTTAAAGAATAAGTATATAATGACAGATAAATCTAAAACAAATAGGTGATACTACAAGAATTCATCTCAAAATCGAGGAGAACTATTACGAAGTACTAAAGCATGCAGGTATGACTGTCTTTCACACAGACCTTTCTTTCCTTTTCAAAGACATCTCAACAGAATGCCTCCAGCCCCTCCAGAAATACCCACTTGTTTCCTCAGTGTCAGAAAAGCTGAAAGAAATAAAGGAACATTGGTTTGAAAGATGGAAACTAAGGGGCAGGTGATTAATTCATCCACTGACGGCGGGGTGGGGATCCCAAACATCTTTTCAGAAAGGCTCTTTTAGGGTTCCTATGAGCAAGAAAGCCAGGTAGTATCACTGTAAGTATCTGACGAGGAACAACTCTCTGGAGAGCCACTTTTTCTTTTCTTTTTTTTTTTTTTTTTTTTTTTGGACAAAAATCTTGATTTTATTTGTCTTCAAGAAGATATAAAATTCCCAGCAAGTATACAGAATGGTGTTTGGTAGCACTAACAATCTTATAAATACTAACCAAAGTCACCATGAGATATCACCTCACACGTATTAGGATGTCTATCACCAAAGAGAAGAGGTGACAAATGGTTGACAAGGGTGTGAAGAATAGGAAATCTTTGTACACTGTTGAAGGGAATTTAGATTGGTGCAGCCTTTGGGGAAAGCAGTGTAAGGGTTCTTAAATAAACTTGAAAAGACCTGTTTACTGTGTTACACAAATCACCTCTTCTATGTGCACAAGTAAAATAATATCACCACCTCATAAAGATTCTTTAATTCAGTATTATTCACTGTGCCAAGTGATGGCAAGAGTTCTCTTTAATCTTTCCTTCTCCCTGGTGCCTGTAGGTCTCCTTAAGTAAACCTGAGTGCATTTACCCACCTGGAAACCAAAAATTTCATTGAAAATGCTCTAGCGGGTGAAGGCTTCCTCCTCACCTCCTCTATTAGTTACTTTTCTGGTGGCTGTGATAAAATGGAGTTGAAGGAGAGAGGGTGTCCTAGTTACTTTTCCTGTCTTGGTGATAAAAACACATTGACAAAAAGCAACTTGGGGGCGAGTCCAAGGTTACATTTTGGTGAAGAAGTCATGTCAGCAGGAACCTGAGGTACCTAACATATTACATCTACAATCAAAAATAAGAAAATAAATACTTGTGTTCAAATTACTATTTCCTTTTTTTATATAGTCAAGAATCCCAACCCAGAAAATGCAGTGGGCAGGTTATCCACCCTCAGTTAACCTAATCAAAATAATCACTCACATGCATGTGAAGAGGTCTGTCTCCCAGGAAGCTTTGTCTCCTCAAACTGACAATTGAGAGCAATCATTACCAAAGATTTATTTTGACTTAGTTTGAAGGTGTAATCCATCATGGATGTGAGGATACAGTGAATGAAAGCCCCTCTAGGTATAGTGGCAGGAGCATGACACAGCTGGTAATTCTGCATCCATAGTCAGGGAACAGAAAGAGATCAGTCACTGAGTGGTGATGTAGCACTTAGGTTCTCCTTTCTATTCAATCTAAGACCTGGCCCTTAAAGCAGTATCGCCTATATTCTGAATATGTCTTTCCACTTCAGGTAAACATCTCTGGAACAGTTCTAAAAGACACACTTACAGGTATGTCTCCCAGGTGATTCTAAAACCCATCAACTTGACAGCCAAGATTAAGGATCTCACTGTTGAGGTGTTCTGCGACACTAAACACTAGGGGTCCAGACTGTACAGCTCGCCTCTTTCATTAGATGAGGGAAACCATGTCTTACTAAGTGAACAGGTACACCAGTGAGTGAGCAAATCACAAGGAATCAGAAGTTTGCTGAGCACTGTTTACGAGCTCCAGAGTTCCTTCACAATTAAGCTTCTCCATGCTTGAGTTCGTTGGTACTCTGTGCTAACAGCTTGAGTTGAAAAACATGAGCAGCATCATTCATGGAGCCACCCCTGCTAAAGAAACACCTGCACACCTAGCTCTGACTCTCCTGTTGCGATAACATGAGGCTGGCATACACACAGGTCTGTGTAGATGTATCCTGAATGGTACTGGAGGGAAGTGGATCCATGTTCTCTGTCAAGACCTCTTGGCATAGATGGGCGTAAGTCACCTCCTGTGTGTCTTCTGCTGCAGACGCCTGTGTGTCCACCTTCCTACAGTCCTCAGGCGGAATGCCCTCCAAGTCACCATATTTATGTTTTTCCTCCATGTCCATGGCTGGGCTGGCCCTCTTATATTTCACCTGCCTCCTGGTCTCACCATTAGTGGCCCCTACAGAAAGACAAAGATCAATCTTAGAATCCACCATGCCCCATACACGCCCTCCCAGATTAACACACACACACACACACACACACACACTGACTCCTGGGACATACTGTGTTTGGCACAAAGCCAGTAGAGGCAGATGAAGAGGAGGAAGAGGAGGAAACAGGCAGCAGCAACTGAGGCCCAAACCACAATATGGCTGGGTGGACCTGGAATTATAAAACAGTAGTGGTCTGTTATTAAACATCAGTTACATTAATTCACTCATTCAATCAATCAAACATTTATTGAGTGAAATAGGCATTTAGGAAACCTACACAAAAAATAATTAAAGCAATCAATCCATGTGTTCTTGATCACATAGGTGGTGTCTCTTATGAGTCTTTTAAACATAGTAAGACCCTATGTAGCCCAGAATGACTTCAAACTTGAGACCTTCCTGCCTTCAGCTCCCAAAAGCTGGGATCATAGGCATGTACCTGCATACCCAACTGATGAGACAAATTAAATACAATACCAAAGAAAATTCATTTGGGGAGATGGTCCATAAAGGATAAGAAACACCCAGCCCTCTGAAGCTAAGAGAACCCTTCCCAGATAGTCTATGAAGAACATACACTAATCCTGACCTGAGTGAACCATATAAAGAAGGGACAATCAGGAGGTGGCAGGGGAGGGTGTTTTCTAATAAAAATTGGAGATCAAAAGTGACATGCAAGAGTCAGAAACTGAAAAGCATTGCAAGCTACAAAGGTGAGTGCAAATGAAATAGCACCTACAACGTAATTGGCATACAATGTGTCTTGTTTTAAAGGAACAGAGCCTCTTAACAAATGCTGGAAAGCTCCAAGTCAACACAGCAGAGACTTGTGCATCTGTGTGCACTACTGCACTGGTCACAGCAGCCAGGACATTGAACCAGACCAGCTTAGATGTCCATCCACAGATGAACGGATAAAGATAATGTAGTGCATAGCCAGAGTGGAACTTTATGCAACTGGAAAGAAAATGAAATCATGGCACACATAAGAAAATGGATAAGAGAGCCACTTTTTCTAAGTTTAGGAATAAAAGAAAAAGTTGTCCCCGTGCAGATTGCTGCACGTTTTGTTGGGCTAAAGCGCAGATTATGGCTTCCAAGCCTGGGCTGTCCTTGTTGGAGGGCATGACGCGCCATAGATTTTTATTTTCACGAAACACACTCCCAGAGGCTTGTGGCCTTCCAGACAGCAGCTGGCGCCGGGCAAAGGCATAGCCTCCAGTAGGAGAAGCTACTGCCTATTGCTCTGCTCCGCTGTTGGCTGTGCATTCCTGGCGGCGCTGGCCAATACCACAGCCTAAGCTCCCTGATTCCAGCAAACGCTGTTCTCTTCTGGAAGGACCATAGGGGCTAGCAACTGGAGGTTGCTTTGCGGATTTTAGGGAGTTGGAGCTGGTTTGAAGGAAGAAGAGACTAGATTTGGAGAAGATGACTCCAAAGAGTCGGCGGCGCCTCTTAAAACTTGGTGCCTAAAATGAGTGAGGTGGTGGCCAAATACAGCGGAGGGAGATTATCTCATTTTGAATATCCAGGACTTCTGGACGCGCCAGCGATGTGTACAGCAACTGTCAATTTGGCAGCAGACTGCACTCGGTCAATTGCAATTCCTTCCCCACTTCAAGCTTACCTCCCCCAGATCTGTGCTCAGACTGTCCTCACAGCCTTCAGGTGGGAGGGAGCTGAGCGAGAGGGAATAAAAAAGTCAGCTTGCTTTTGCTCTCCGCTGGTGGCAGAGGCGCAGCTGGTTGGTCCTAAGCAGGTTGGTGTTGGAGGGGGGAAAGCCGGCACTGCTTAGCATCTTTGCTGGTTTGGGGCGGAGGATGCTCAAAGGCTTTGGAGGAAGAGGCTGGGAGTAGAGTTGTGTGGATTATTGGTGGAAGAACACGATGTGAGGTGCCAGATGCTTCCCCAGCCACCGCCCGTCGCTTCTTGGGGGAGAGAGGGTGAAGAGGGCGTGGGGGCGGGGACCGCCCTGCAGCGCAAGGAGCGCGTGGTGGCCAGGGGGCTGTCTCTTTAAGCGCTCCGGAGGGGTTGGGGCCAGAGGGCGGCGAGCGCGTTGCCATGGCACCAGGACTGCAGGGGCTGCAGGACCGCTGGGCTCGCTGGTCTCCAGTTGTCTCCAGCAATGCAGGGGCTGTGCAGCTCTTGGGCTACAGCTCCTGGGGTTGGCTTGGCCGGCCACTACTAGCACGCGCTCGCTTGTTGCCTGAGTCGCCTGCTGGGGTCGAGCTGCTGCCGCGCCCTCCGCTGCGAGACGCACGTCGCGGTCCTCGAGAGCGAGCCCGGCACTTGCAACTTCTGCCTGGCGAGCCCAACTTCTGCGCGGGATTCGGACTTGCAGATCCTGAGCGGCGCACCGCGCGCAGTTGGGGCGGTGTCCCTACCGTCTCAGCCTCAAGGAGATGACTTCCCCACTGTGGTTCTGGTGCTTCTGCGTCTGGGCCGCCTATCACTGGCCGCCAGGAAGCGCCCTGCAGCTCCAGCCCGGCATGTAAGTGGAGCCCGCAGCTCCGGAAAGCTTGCGGACAGCTTCGTAGTTCCATGTGCCCCCGCCCTACCCGCGCGACACCATGGCAGAGGAAGAGACCAGGTCTCTAGGGGAAGCGATGGAGGGATGCGGTGCTGTCAGGCACTGGGCATGAGAACTTGAGGATGTCATTGACTGGGTACGGGGCGGGAACCTTAACACACACTAGACCTTAGGCAGCGCCCCCTCCCCGCCCAGCACAACTACTGCCACTGAAGATGCAATGCTTCCAACCTGATATTTTCCAAGCACCTGTCAGACCCCGACCCCCGCCAGAGTTTGAGTGTATGTATTTCATATTGGGGAGTAACTGTCCACTTCCCACAGGCTTTTACGCTAAATCCCGTTGAAAGGGAACTACCTTGACATTTTTTTTTAATTCAATGCGTTTCTGCACATCACCCCTCCCCCTTTATGGGAGGTATGATGAAGTCCAAAGAATGGACTATTTCAAAGATCTGATGAGAGAGGCGAGAACCAGCAATGCATGTGTCAGCGGCAGGGAGAGGCACTTGGGTGGTTAATCCAACACTTAGGAGGAAGGGGCACAGGAGGGATTCCTCCTGCATTAGTGGGTAACACAGGGAAATGTCTTGTTCTTGGTCACCATGTGGCGCGCTGGGAGGAGTTCGGAGAAGTCTAGTAGCCTGGTCTACTTAACTGGCTCAAGAAGTTTCTGCCAGGTCTTCTTTACATTAGTCTGCTGGAGAAAGCCGGGTCCCACTCAGCTTTCCCTGTTCTGCTCTCGGGCAGACTGCAAAGTCCTTTGGACGTTTCTGCATTCCCTCTTCTTTGCTTTTCTGAAATATTATATAATAGAAAAAGTGGTTGGGAGAAATAACCCAAAGGCACGCATACCTTTTCCTAGCTTCGCTTCTTCCGGTAAGAAAAACACCGTTTGGGGTTCACGTTACCTTTCAATATTTCATTCTCTGTGAAATTCAGTCTGCTGTCTGGTTACTGCTCGGGTCATGAACTAGGAACAGAGCTAGGGTGTCATTCTGTTTCACAACTTTGACTATGTAGTGCCTAAATGTGTATTCTGAAATTTGAGGAATTACTGTGACTTTTGACATAGATTTGCATTGTTTACTTTGAAGAAGTGAATTTAAACTCTTCTGGTTATCCCAGGAAACATCAGCCTGTGCGTATGAAAGCCTTTGTCTTACAATACTTTAGAGCAAACTTGCTTTCGTTGTTATCACTGTTATAGTGAGCCCTGGGTTGCCTTGTCTCACTCACCCATAAACACTGGACTGAGTGACCCCAGTGGGAAGACACACCCCACTTTTATATGAGAGTATTCCTCTCTTTTCATTGTCGACTCTTTGGTCTAGAATGATGACCCTGCAATTGAAAAAAAAAGAATTGTAACTCATTTACATATCAGATGAGATGAAGTCAAATATTAAAACCAATACAAATTCTTGGAAGATTTAATAAGGACATGTTTATCAAGGAATTGCTAAAATCACTCTGACTTTGAGTACTTTAGGGGAGGAGAAATCCAGTCATGTTTGTTTGTGGTCCTCTCTGTGCTGGAGTTCATTCATCAGGAACTGCAGTAGGATCTACTGCCAGGTTTCTTTGCAATTCTTGGCGTGTAGAACACAGTCACATACAGGACTTGGCTGTCACACACCTGCCTATTTGTTAAATGTGAGAGAATTCTCCCGGAGATTGTTAGGGACCTCTGCAGTCAATCACTGGTGGAGACAGCCTGCGGATGAGGTAAAGATTGTAATGAAAGTATGCCATCCTACCGACCCACACTTCCCAGTCATCAGTGCAGCAAAGAGTTGGGTGCCCCTTGTTAAGGAGGACAAAGAGTGAACACAGGGGCAACTAACCAAAAGTCAGAATGACAGACTTGTTACATTCATGATTGCATGTCTTAGAAGGGAAACTCATTTAGAAAATTTATTAATGAGGCAAAAGCTTTGTGCCATGGATTTTCCGACTCTTGTGATGATCGACCCACCTGATGATTTTGTTTGATCACGGTTTGGAAACTTCGGGTGACTGATGTTGGCTGATGGAGAAAGTCAGCCCTCCACTGTGGCATCATTGTGTGAGTAGAAATCACAAACCACAACTAGTGGGTTAACTCCCTTGCGTTCTTACTTAGACAGCAGGTGGCTTCTAGCTCCTTTGCATTTACCCATCCCATGGCAAGTAAGACTGGCAGGGCTTTCAATGGGAAGAGGCTTGGCTGAGTTGAGATTTGCACCACCAGGTCTGAACCCAGATACTTGGGTTCTTCCTATCCTTTCTTCTTCATTTTCTTTCTGTTTTTGACAAGGTGCCACAGGCAGCCCTCGCTAGACTTGATCGCACCCACTGTGAGCTGAAAAGTGTCCTTGAACTCCTGATCCTGCTACCTCCACCCTGCCCCCAGTACAGATTACCAGCAGGCCTCTGCCACCACGCCATTCCTAGTTCCAGAGTTGGGGTTGAACTATTCCAGAGCATTCAGGCTTATGCTGTTTTTTAAGTTTGTTTCAATTTCCCCATGTCTTCTCAGTAGGATTGATGCCGATATTTTCAACCTAGGGGATGTCAAAATGCTTTGGGCACCTCTTCTGGGTTGCACCTGCTCTGGGTTCTGTGGGCATCAGTGCTCCTTTTGCGTGCTAATTGTTCCACAATACTTGTGGAAGTTCTGAATTTTCTCTGCCTACTTAAGACTCTGCATGAGAAATTCCTGACTGCTGCTTAGTGGTGGCCTTAAGGCTTTGTGTTAGTTTGGTAGACTATACCATGCTATAGACTTGGCTGGCCTTGAACTCTCAGCAATCCTCCTGCTTCAGCCTCATGAATACTAGAATTACAGGTGTGAGCCACAAGGTGATGACATTTTGATAAGAGGGTGTTGGTGACTTTACTTATGTTAATGGTACTCTGTACATGTTTTACACAGGATTAAATTGGAGGGGTAAACAAACTCAATCCAAAGGCGTCAAAGGGTAAATGATCAGTTGTTATATTAAAACTTTGTGATGTGCTTTTGGGAACACTTGCTTAATAATGAGATGAAAACAGTGAACATGGAGATGTAATGAGTCTTTGTCTGCCCTGCCAGCCAGCTTCCAAATAATGACATGGAGACTTCGTATGAATTATGAGAGGTTGGCCTTAGATTAAGCTTGTTCCAGTAGCTATTATAACTTAACCTGCTTGTATTAATCTACATTTACCATATGGCTTCTTACTTTTCTTTTATTCTGTATGCCCGACTCCCCGCATCTCCATAGCATATGTCTCCCAAGATGCATGCCCCTCCACTCCAAAACAGAAAAAGCTTCACCCTATTACTTCCAGTGTATCTGTCTGTCTCTTCCAGATGCCCTCTGATGCTCTTTGATTACTTTCTATCAAATAGTTTCTAACTCAGCCTCCTGACCTAACGTTAGGTTTATTTAATTGAAATGCAAACTTGGGGTTCAAAATGTGATTGAATATCCCCCAACATGGAGGTGTTGTAGAGATCAGCACTGAATTAGGATAGAACTAGCTGCCTGTGATCTTAGAACTTGGGATACTTATGTTTGTCTAACACCTGGGAGGGGAGACTTTAAGAGGGTAAGGTCAATGTTCAACCAAAGAGTCTCCTAAACTATAGGGGACGTTCCAAATCTGTGCTCTAATATGGGCATCTTACATAGGCTGATCTGACAGAGAATTCAAAGCACGGCAGATAGACTGCATTCACATGTGTTGGAGCCTTTGCTGTGTGGTGAAAAAAAAATGCCTATATAGATAGTAAAGGAAGAAGAGTTTCCCTGTGTCTGAGTTTTCCAGCCATGATTGGATTGTTTTGCTGTTTGTGGGCTGAATGAGACAGAACACCATGGCTAACAGTGTGGTAGAGCAAAGTCGCCCACCTTAGTGAGGACAGGAAGTGGGGGGGGGTGAGCTAGGGTGTGGATTAGCTATATCTTTCCAGGGTGTGCCCTATGCTTGTTCTCTTCAACTAGACCATCACCTCCCATTGATGCTATTAAGTTGGGATTTTAGCAGGGATTTAGCTATTGACTAAGTCATTGTCCTCAGGTGCCAATCACTTCTCTAAAGGTTCACTGCTGAGCATTGCCATTCAGATAAACCTTCCGAGAGGACCCTTCAGGTACAGACCATAATACAATCTCTCCCTACTACAGACCTGTGCAGAAATGTGGTCCAGGCTTCTACAGCTGATGTGGAAACCTGGAGCCAAAATTGGAGGGGTAGGGAACTCAAGGAATTTAGAACCTGGCTGAAGTTTCATGGCTGGGGAGTAGCGGGGTCACCTTTGATTCTTGTCTCTGGAGCCCTGTTTCTGTTCACCGTGTGTTGCGGGGAGCTCTTTCTGCTCCTTGCTCCCCCAGCCAATAGCTGCTAAGATACCAGCCCATTGGGGCGTGGTCTCTCTCCTTTTAAAAAAGTGGCCACTTCCCTCAGGCTAGCTCTCTGACTTCCCCGGCTCAGCTTCCAGGGACTAGGCTTTCTTCCTGATTGCACAGAGGGCTGTTGTCTGGGATGGTGATCTGTAAGTTTTTCCCCTTTAAATAAATAACCATTCTATTAATCATAATTCCAAACTGGTGTGGGATTGTTTGTGACTTACGCTTTCAACCATGCTCCCTGGTGGTTCCTTCACCATTTTCACCTCAATTCACTATGTTTAAACTATACCCGCTCTGATCTTTCTACCGGATGTAAACTACATCCAGCAATAGTTCTCTCTGTCTATGTAGCTGGCCCCAGCTTTAGCAATCCATGCCTTATTGATAACATTAGAATTGTGTACATTTGCATGTGGTTCCTGTCCTCTGTTCCAGTTCCCCTTGTTTAACTGTTTTTTTCTGTTGTCCCGCACTCCTGTCCATGGCACTCTTATTTTGATGCTTCAGAGCTTCCTGGTGTGTTTTCTCTACATCCCCTCATCTTTATTTGTGGCTTTTTTCACTTGTGCTATTTCTTTT